AATTAAAACTTTAATTCAAAGATTAATCATAAAATCGATAGAAATATTTTTCTATTCATAACTTACAATAAGACTGAAATCAATTTTAAATTATATTATTTTATTCTTTTATAGGAGTGCTGTGAAAAATGCTTCTCAGATGTTGATGAGTCTAGGAATTGATAATCGTTCTGTCTATGCTGAAGATTTTGAAATACCATTTTTACAACAATCAGCTGAATTTTATCGTGTATGATGAATTGTCATAGCTATATTAATTATTGTAGAAAATAAATTTTGTTTTTTTTGCAGCTTGAAAGTCAAAAATTATTAGCCGAAAACAGTGCATCTGTATATATACGAAAAGTAGCTGCACGCATAAGTGAAGAAGCTGAGCGAGCTGTTCATTATCTTGATAAATCAACTGAAGAACGTGTTGTGCGAGTCTTAGAAGGTTTGAAAATAAAATACATATATATATAAATATTCTTTTATTTAAAATTGTTTTTTCTTTTCTTCTATTTGATTTAGATGAACTAATTACAAAACATATAAAAACTATAGTTGAAATGGAAAATTCAGGTGTTTATCACATGCTCAAATTTAGTAAATGTGATGATCTCGCAACAATGTATAAATTATTTGAACGTGTACCTAATGGTCATTTAACAATAGCTGATTGTATGAGTAGTTATCTACGTGAACAAGGACGTGCACTTGTTACTGAAAATAGTGATGAAGGAAAAAATGCAATCTCTTATGTTCAAGTAATAAAAAAAATTTATGATTTCACTTAAACTATGAGAAAAAGTCGGATTTTTTTATAATCGATTTCTGAATTCGAAAATAATGTTTCGAATGATATGTTGACAACACTTTTTGGCTGATTAAAAGAAATCAGCAAATGAGTCGATTTTGAGACATATTAAAGAGATTACCATATCGAGTTTCGTGTTATTTACTGTTGTTTATAGTTAAGAATCCTAACTGAGCAGTAGACATAGAAAAGAATATTTGACTATTCCTTTGTTTTTTTCTTCGGCATCTTTATTGAATCTATTTCGTTAAATAAAAATACACATCGTTAACACTGATATTGAATTCAATCAACGAGACTATGATTCATACTATTATTATAGAACGGAATATAATTGACTCCTGTTCATATTTTCAAAATAAAGTTTTGAAATTTCTATCAATCATTAATACTTTTCTGCGTCTTTATCTTATTGAATGTTATCTAAAAAAAACTAATCATGTTACTAGTCTCTTCGTGATAATCGCAGTATATCAGTGCCAAATTTGGCTTCGTAAAGGAGGGTGAAAAATGATATGTATCAAACTAATTCGAATATCTATAAGAAATCTTGAATATATCTTCTGATACATGATGATCTATGTCTAAAAGAATTTCATATCTAGGTGAAGATAGAATTTTTTAATGTTTTTTTTTAAATTTTAGAGTTTACTTGATTTAAAAGATACATTCGATCATTTTCTCAAAAATGCATTCAACGAAGATAAGGTTTGACTTTTATATTTCATCACTGATTAAGTTTGAGAACAAGATTATTTTGTAATTTAGACATTTAAAAAACGGATTAATTCTGATTTTGAATTTTTTATTAATTTAAATCAACGTAGTCCAGAATATTTATCTCTATTTATTGACGAAAAATTAAAGAAAGGTGCAAAAGATGTAAGTAGAAATAGGAATAAAAGTTTTTATCGAAGTAAAATAAAATTTTCAACATTTAGCTTGGTGATCAAGAAGTTGAAATTGTACTTGATAAAGCAATGATGCTATTTCGATATTTAGAAGAGAAAGATGTCTTCGAACGTTATTATAAACAACATTTAGCTAAACGTTTATTATTAAATAAATCGGCATCCGATGATGCTGAAAAAAATATGATATCAAGATTAAAAACAGAATGTGGTTGTCAATTTACATGCAAATTAGAAGGCATGTTTAAAGATATATCTGTATCAAATACAACAGCCGATGATTTTCGTTTATATGTTTCACAAAAACGAGTAATAAATAGGAATGTTGTTGTTTTTTTTGGAAATTATTTTATTAACTATTTGAATAGATTAATTTGAATGGTATCGATTTAACTGTACGAGTATTAACAACAGGTTTTTGGCCGACACAAACAGTTAATAATCAATGTAATTTACCAGCAACAGTTCGAGAAGCTTATCAATGTTTTCATCATTTTTATTTAAATAAACATAGTGGAAGACAATTAACATTACAGCCGAGTTTAGGCTCAGCAGATTTAACAGCAATTTTCTATGGAAAACCTAAAGACGATGATGGTGATGAAGAATCAAGACCAACAACAACAATGAATAAAGAACGTAAACATACTCTACAAGTTTCAACTTATCAAATGGCTATATTAATGTTATTTAATGCGAAAGAATCTTGGTCATTCGAGGTAGATTATGAATCTATACAGAGAAAAACGTCACTGTTTTATATGAACAAAATAATTAAATTGATGAGAAAATAACCGAAATCATTTCAGCAAAGAATTTCTTTTGAAAAGAAATATTCTAAAATTTTGTTCTATACACCATTGTTAAAGTATACACTATTAATGCTAAAATTGGTCACGAGTCATGAAGCTTGATGATAGTATATGGTGACGAAGATTCTTATTGAGCTTGTTAAGTTTATCTATCTACTTGAAATAGGATGATCTATCTGGATGACAAGTGATAGAGTATAATCTTTTGAAGCTTTAAATAGATACTTGAGTATTATACTTCTTTTTTTGTAGTAACTCAACTCTTAAAAATTAGCGAATCCTGTGAATTATTTGTGGGCTTCCATGAATCTTGCTACTTCTATTAAACTAAAGAAACTAGACGGATCGGAAGTTCTTTATGAATGATAAGAGAAAAGGCAAAACTTAGCGCTTACAATTAACTGAAGGATGAGAACTACCAAGTACTTCGAAATCCAGTTAATATCTATCATATGTTATGAATAAATAAATCTAGTGATGCCAATAAAATCCTCTAGTCTTTCAATTAAATATTTTCAGGAGATGCATCAAGAAACTGATATAATTGAAAAAGATTTACAACGAGCATTATTACCATTATCGTTGGGTAAAAGCAATCAACGTATATTTCTTAAAGAACCTAGAACAAAAGAAATTCAATCAAACGATAGATTTTCTATCAATGATTCTTTTACTTCAAAATTATTCCGTGTTAAAATAAATCCAATAACAGCAAAAATCGAAAGTGATCCCGAACGACTAGAAACACGAAATAAAGTTGACGATGATAGAAAACACGTCATTGATGCAGCAATAGTACGTATAATGAAAACAAGAAAAGCAATGACACATACACAATTAATTGCTGAAGTATGAGAATTTTTATTCATAGAATTCTTTTGCTTTTTATTCGGAGAATTTCATTTGACTTAGGTTACTCATCAACTGAAATCAAGATTTATGCCCAGCCCTGTTTTTATTAAAAAACGAATTGAAAGTTTAATTGAACGAGATTATTTATCGCGGTCAACGGATGATAGGTAATATAGGAAACATTTACTTGATTTAATCTATAAAATACTTTTTATTTCATTCTCAATAGGAAAATGTATAGCTATGTGGCTTAAATAAATTCTGAAGCATTTTTCTTTTCTTTTGATATTTTTTTCTCTGTAATAAAATGAATTCACCAATACCAATATTGGTTAAAATACCTATACATATATATATATATATATGTATTCTTCTTCTTCTTCTTCTTCTAATTGTCATTGTCCACAAAATTTAGTATTTTGTTGTCTTTTCATATGTTCATTGTCTTTTTTTCTCTCTTGCCCTCTGTTTGTTATTACAATTTATCTGTTTCTTTCTGAAAAATATACAAGAATCAGATTTGTCTGCGCGTTTATCTGAATATATTTGAATGAATGTCCTATGATTAATCAATATTTGAATGATTGCAAAACTTAACTAAAGAGATGTATTTTCAATGTAGATCACTTGAAATTCATTTATTTTGAAGACAATGTCAAAATCCGGAGTTTTTACTTATGCTTGTGACAATCAAATGGATGACTAGAAAAAATGTTAATACATTTCCCGTGGGATTTAACAACACGCTGCATCACATTCAAATAACATGTTAATGTATGTTTGTAATGACAGCTGATCGGCTTTGTAATATGTTTCAATAGATCGAAAGAGAGTTCCAGCATAGAAATTATTTTTTAGTACAGAGATCGTAACAATATTTTAAGAAGACTAATCTTACAATGAAGGATCTAAACATGAGATATACTGATCTATATGTTATATAGAAAATAATTTGAGTAGGTTTCACATTTGTATATCTTGAATATCAATGGCTGGTGTCTGTTCAAATGATGAAGATTCTCTTTGTAGGTAAACATGAAAGTCATATATATATTGAACCGGCAAAACTATATGAAGAATTTATTGAATCAATATAATATATGTCTCTTGAGAGTAGACATAGCGTTGCTTCTGAATTTGAACACTTTAAATCACATTAAAAGACTAGTTAAAGACACTATATGTAATCATGCATTACATCAACAATACTGATATGAATTGGGCAGCATACTAAACTAGATTTGTAATTGACGTCATAATAATTACAATAGAATCAAAAGGGTCACAAAATAAACCCAATATATTGTTGCTCATTGTTCCTTTCATGCTGTAATTATCAAGTGAATGCAAAAGAAAAATGCTATTTTTAAAATATATTTGAGTAGATAAAAAACGATTCGAAATTAAGAAAACCACCGAAAAAATACCTCATCCTTAGAAATTATTTGCAAATGCAATCCTTATTTATCGTTCTATTAATATGTTGACGGTAAAATACATACAGAGACATGAGACATCATGCAAAATGTAAGGTTAAATGTTAACCTTGCTAATAAATCAAGCGTGATTAAGTTATTTATTTCAACTAGATACAAAAATCATTCATAGAAAACCTCTCCTTGATTTCAAATGTCTTCATCTTTATTTATTCCTATTAAATTACCCGTAGATGATAGGGATAAAGTTGATAGTTTAATAAAAGAATTACATAAAATAAATTGGGAAAAGGGTGAATATTATTTTAATAATTTCATTGATTATTTTCAATTACCGCAAATAATTCGTGTTGAACAAGTATGGAATACAGATTTGATTAAAAATCAATGGATGTATTTACAAACAATATTTGATCGTTATTTAATTACTGCGTCACTTTTATGCGATAAAAATAAATTATCAAGAAAAAAATATCTTATTCCGGATTGGTTTCAAGGCGAATGTCGTATATTATCAAAACAACCTACGTTAAAAAGACGTTGGTGGGTATTTCAAGGTGCTTTTGAATTATATCGTTTTGATTTGCCACGTTCAATTCGAATTCTCTCTCTAACACCAGCACATATTAAGTCAGCAAATGATGAATGGAAAAAAGTTATTCTATCTAAAAATGCTCATTTTAATGTTGTTCGTCGTGAACAATATCAATCACGTGTTCACAATGGTAAAGATAAGGTATTTATTAGTGAACCAAAAGAAGCATTTGTACTTCAAAATCCAAATACTAATGAGGAATTTATAGTTCCACCTGGTGTACCACTACGTTTTGCAACATTAATCGAAAATTTTGAGTTACATAGTGAATATCAAAATCACAGTGGAACATTTACATTTCCAGAGATAATGATGCGCTATGAATTTCCAATTGATATTGAAATTTTAACACATTTACCCATTGATTTACCTGATTTTAAACCACAAGTTAGATTAGAAAAATTTTGCGTAGGAAAATCAGTATTAGCATATATTATTGACAATGAACAAATAAAAATGATTGAACTTTCGCCATTAACTCATTTTACTATTCGTTGTGCTAAGTATAAAAAACAGTTTGAGAGAAAATAAGACAAAAATAAAGCATTGTTTTTTGTCTTTTCGATAGATGTTTAACATATGGTTTATTGCAAGACGAAGATAAAGATGTAAAACAAGATAACTTCGATGAAAATGAATATCAAGCGTACGAAAACATTCGAAGTAAGATGAACACTATTTTTGATGGCGTAGCTGCAAATCATAGGAGTAAAATTCAATTGAGTTCAATGGAAGAGGTTTGTTTGAGTTTTTTAAATATTATATATTTGTCAACTTTTCGTAATGAACACTCAGACTGAATGTGTGGAAACAGCTTATGATATAAGTATGAAGATGAGAGATGATGAAGAAAAACCAATACAAAAAACTTATATAACATTGGGTGAAGCATTGGAAGTTATTAAACAAAAAAAGAATGATGACAGGCCTTTTTCAAAAATACAACCAAAACGATTTACAGTTCATGCCAGTGCTGATCCAAGTAAAGCATTTAAAAATGTTATTTGATAATTTGATATCATTTTTGTTTCATTATTTAGGTAATCCATATAACGAAATTATCGATTATGAAAATATGGATGCTTTAAATAAGACTAATGATGAAAGTAAATCAAGACAATCAAAAAAAGATGATAATGAAATAAAATCATCATCACGATCTAAATCTCGACGATCAAAAAACGATGATAATGAAATAAAATCATCATCACAAAAATCATCACGATCTAAATCTCGACCATCAAAACATGAATTCAACAAACGTCCAGCTCTTGTTGTTCAACAATTGCCACCGCCAATGTTGTTACCACCGTAAAATTCTCTATCATAAACATTTCAATGAGAAAACTATTTTTGTTTAGTGAAACTTTTGAAAGAACAGTAAAAGCTATTCCTGATAAACTTTATACTGAACTTCTTCCAGCAACAAAATCACAGTAAGATTATTTATTTCAAATTCTCAATAATATTTTCTATAAATAGAAAATCAAACAAAACACAAACTCAGAAGTCGTCGAAATAATTCAAAATTTTATTTGAACTTAAAGTAATTCATCGCAAGAACTTTTCAAATTGCTGTTCTTTTCTTGTATTTCAAAAGAAAGCAGAAAAAAATAAATATATATTTATATTAAAAAATAGACTATGTTTCTGTTAGGATAAACACAAAAAAACACATATGAAACTACACAATAGTCAAGGAAGATAGAATGATAAAATATAGTTCTTTTTGGTTCTAGTTACATGAAAACTATAAAGCTGAAAATCTTTATTACACAAATAAATAAAACTGTTATTTATTAACACCTCGTCTCAGGGATTGGTTCTTCACTGATATTTTGTAATTCTTCATATTCACCATGTTTATATTTATGTCGTAACTAGAGAAACAAAAGCAAAGAACAGTTGAATGAATCGAAAACAACATGAAATATTTACTTCATGCATAAATAAACAAGATACATTCATATCTAACTGAGCAGCACCTGGTAAACCTTGTAAAGATCCTAATGTACTGGATAAATAATTGGAATCCGGTAAGTCATACGTTTGTGCATGGATTCTAAAGAAGAATACAATTGAGAACATTTAAACAATAAATGAATCGTATACTTTGAAAGAACACCAAGTGGTGCAAGGTGTTTATAAGGTAAATCAGCTTTGGATGCGCCACTGCGTATTATTGAGGATGTTGGCAGTTGCATTGAAATGCTAGTCGTTGTATGTGTTAAATGAGTAGAATGAGTATATGAATTTGAGTTGATTAACGGTTTGGGTATGACTGAATGATTCAATATGGTTGATGTAGCTAAAAATATAGATTAAAATTAATTTTTTTGGAGTACATTGGTATGTTGTATTTTGGTTGCTGCCGTTTTTGTGATTCAATATGAAACAGATCGTTCAAATGTTCACACACACAAGTTAAATATGCTCTTCAACATAGAAGTGACCACTACCGAATTTACGTAAATCTTGCATAGATGTTTGCATAGTCTTACAAGCAAATATATGCGTGTATGAGAAAAAATCTCGTCTATTACTGATATAATCCTACTACAGACTAGTAGAGTATGCTGATACTATCTACCGAATACATTCAACTATTATCTATGTAAGTAGATTATTTCGAATTAAATATCAATCTTTGTTAACTATTAAGAGAATTAGCCGAATCTCTCTGATATGTATTGTGGTGTTGTGTATTCATAGGATTTGTTCGAACGATGATTTTTTTTCTAGGAATACGAGAGTATCATCTAGTATGTTAGATTGATAATATTAATAGTTCGTATGCAATAACTTTTGTTGCCTAGACTAGTAAAAATGGTACGAGTAAGAAAAGACTGTATACTTATAATTCAAAATGAACTTGTTTTTCCTCTTTTCTTCGTACAAATAAGTCTTATATCTAGTGTACAAGTGTCAGAGACCAATTCGTTTATGACAGTTAGTTATGCTACAGTTATTTTAGTAAATAGGATTCGTGCCAGCTCCAGGTAGGTAATTATAATTTGTTGGTCTTTGAATTCAGTTATTTCAGTTTGTGGGATTACCACAATTGAAGCTAGAAGATTAAATCTTGAATAGAATGAATGTTTCAGAAATTCGTTCTCATATTGTATCACTAGTAGCGCTATCCGAATAATTTATTTGTTAACTGACTTTTCTACTACACATCTTTTATTCATCATTCAAATTAGATAAGCCTCAATTTTTTAATGAAAATAAATATTAGTGTCTTCCTCTCAAACACTTTCTTTTTTCCATAAATTCTCAAAAGAAAACATCGAATTCTAATGATACCGTTGATCAAAACAAACAAGGAACACAATGTCATATTGAGCTTTGAGAACATCTATATTGAGCGCGCAGACTACTATTCGAAGCCTTATTTTCACATTTGTTGGCATCTTACTTGCTGGATCACTGTAAAAACTTCGTTGCATTTGAGGAAGTGATTGCTGAAGAATAGATGATGTTTGCAAATTTTCCATAGCTAAATTCAATAGAAAAATAGAACAACGAATACTATTGCATTCATCTCTCACCTTGTTCTTGTATTTTTTCTAAATACATTTCACACTGTTTTGGCATCTGCCATTGAGGATTAGCATGATGAAAATGCATTAATGATAATTCAAGTTTTCCATCATTCATTATTCCAATAGTATTGCCAGTTTTGACGCGTACTGGTGCAAACCACTGAAAAAAACAATTATTTGCATTGAATTCAAATATCGCTTTCTTTACTTTCAAATCTCCATGTTTTCCAATATCGAGCTGAGCAAAACTACAAACATCTCCAACACCTTGAACTTCAATAGTATAATTTCTTAGGAAATCAATAATTTGTATCGATTTTCGACGTAAATGAAAACATAAAACAATAGGTGTAATAAATGGACTTAAAAGTTCTTCAAGAAAATAAACCTTTATAATGAGCAAAAAAATTATTAATTTAATCAATTCATAGATATGGTATATACGTACATATTTCAATTGAAACATTTGTCCGAATTCAGTTTGAACATAATCTTTATGTGCATGATCTTTCCATGAATCAGGCTGATAATGAACTTGCGCAAGAACAAGTTGCATCATTTGTTCAGGATCGCAGACCATATTCTATTCAAATAGATAGATTTATTAAGAGTCATGAAATATATTTTTCTTAATTTCTACTTCATCTGGTATTAGCGATCGACAAACGCCAAGTACAACTCCGAGACCAGTCATTAATGTTAACATATGGTCAACTTTAAGTACGTCTTCATCATAAATTGTTAATAAAATTAAAACAGCTAATATAGCACCGGCTGCAAAACTGACAAATCTAGAAGCGAAAGGAAAACAAATAGGAATTGCTTCAGCAAATCAATCAAATTTTACTTTGCTGTTTCGATTACACCGTAATTAACAAATGAAGACATATAGGATACTGCTGGTTTATAACCACGATTTAATCGTTGATTAAGTGAATGATCAAGTTCATTAAAATGACGTAGATAAAGGCGACCATAATTACTCCAACGGCGACTACCCAATAGACCTGGTTCACGTCGAACCAGCTAGAAGTGCAAAAGACAAAGTTAAAAATAAGACTTTATTGAAAACAAAAAACAGGTTCATTACTTCAGTGTAGCCATAGAATAAATTTAATACTTGCCAAATAAATATAAATGGTGAAAGAAGAAGATTAGCGAGGCCATAGAGAAGAATAAAACGGGATAATCTAGATAAAAGAAATTCATTTATACATATAAAATCTGTAGTTGACGCATACTGTTGCGCTAGAGCTGTACGTTGACTATGCACTTTATACTCTTGCCGTAGATGCCATCGTTGATCAAATGGTGCATATGGACTCCCTAAGAAGAATAGGTAAAGATATATATCAATCTTTTGATAATTATTGTAATATCAAATCAATGCGAATAAACTTTCCAATAAATAGTCAAATTAAGTTATAGATAACTTTATTGATAAGTTAAATCGTATATACTTATTAATACAAAATGAATAGCTCATATCGATATTGTTGACTAATCCTGAATTAACTAAGAAAACTGTTATGAAAACTTGATTTCATTGTACTAAAGTAACATATTAAACAGAAGGATACGGTTAAAAGTCAAGCTTTCATATATTAGATATGAAAAACTACAGAGATTTATTTTAAAATAGAATATGACCTTCTCATAATAAAAATCTATAAACTTGCATTATACATAAACATTTAACTAAGGAATCAAGGACATTGAAATAAATGTTTTTAGCACTTAAAGTATTAAAAAAGAAAAAAATTTAAGGAGCTAAATTTGAATATATCGAAAAATTAACATTGTTTTCCTGGTTTAGTGTAATCCTTTCTATTTGCAAACAAAATGTAGAGTACAATTTATGCCATGTTTCTGAAGAGATCAATTCTAGAATATGCTAGTCGACTTACAATCATAGTAAGGTCTAAAAAAGCTAAGCTTAATATGCATTTGCAAATTTACTCATATTACAATACTTATACCATTCAAGATTATCTTCAATTAGTAAACTTATCGGTGTAGAAAGTTTTCTATAGAATCTATGGAAAGTTTCTTTCATCGATTTACACTTGTCGTTTTCATTACTTACAGAATAGAATTAATCGCAGATTAAATTTAAAACCAGTTGTAAATGAAAGTCTAAATTCAAATGGAAAAAAGACTAATGTGCACATATGTTTATTGATTTCAATTCAAACTTACATATCTCCAAGTATGGGTACGTGCATTCTCGGTGGTAGAATACCTTTATTTACTAGAGCTACTTCATAATTTTTAAAACGTAATAATCGGTTGTGAATATCTAGTTCTGTTAAATTTGCTTTATGTATGCATAAATGATGTGTTCGCTGAGCTATGATCAATCGTTGTTGTACTTCATGCCACGTCATATTTGCTAGTTCGTTCTACATAGACATTGAATGGTTCTATTTTATTTTGAATAGTTGATTTCTTACTGGTTTTATATCCAAAGCTTGGGTATAAAATGCTCGAATATTAAAATAAGATAGAAGATTATAAATTGCACGTGATAACCGATAAATCCAATAGATAAATGAGAGCAAGAGACATATAGATGTTATTAAATGCATACTAAAGGTAACCATAGTAAAGAAATGAATTTTTATTCAAAAATTTAAAAAAAATTACTTTCGAAGACATTGTTTAGGCGATTGAATAACTTGATCAATTTGTATTTTATCTGTTAGATTCCTCGCTGATGGCGTTGAGCGAAATAGAAGTGGATAGTCAATACATTGAACAATAAGAATAGTAAATGAAACAATAAATACAAATTGTCTAGTAAGAAACAAAAAAAAGAATATTAGCATCTATATATGTAGAAAAATTTATCACTTTGTTTTACATACACAAGAGCAAAGATTTCAGAAAGAGCTATACAAGAGAATCCATGCTGTTGATGATATTGATATATGCGGATGAAAAAATCATCCAGATCTTTTTGATGACTCCATCGTAGTTCTAAAAAGAAAAGGTTTTAAAAGAAGATTATTTTTATTATTATTTCATTTCTATACGTTTTTCGTTGTTATTTTGATCATCTTGTGTTTCAAATTGTACAAGAGGCGATAATGTTTGATCAGGTCCTTCAAAAGCCTCATTATCTTCGTTAACCAGTGTTTGATAGTCCATTTTTTAAACTGTTCATTCAATTCCAAAAAGACGAATCTGAAAGAAATCTTCTAATAAATGTATAGGTAATATTTCAAACAGGATTGAAAGTTTTATTTGTTAAAAGCATGTAATTATGAAATATACATAGGAGGGTATGAGAAAAGAGCAAAAATTAAGCATAGGCAACTTCAGGTAGATGTCACTTCTATGTTTGTGTTATACGTCATTAACTGTTTTCGTGTAAAGATCAAAACATAAAATAGTATTAATAGTTGACGACAAATAGAAAACTCAACCGATCTTGACTCTTAAACGCTTTATAGATATAATCTTTTAAAATTATTACTGAATTATTTTCTAATTATGAAGGAGTATCTTTCTATTTGCAAACATGGTCGAATTTTAGGTTGAATCTTACGCTGCTAACAATTATGTAAATGTTTTATCAGTTATCTATGTTAGATTCAATGCACATGAGAGATTGTTTTTGTTTGGATCGAGAGAAAATTAACTAAGTCAATATTTTCATTCGAATATATATATATATATATATATATATATACATTATGAGATCACCATGCTCAATAGTAACAGGTGCCATGGAACGACCAGAATAGGAATTGATTAGAAACTTTAGAACTATACCGCTGTTAAATAAAAATTGTCTAGCTTGACAAAAACATCAGTGTCATCTATTCTTTTATTTCCCTAGTAAATAGTGACAAATTCTGCTAAAGAACGGTCGAATCTCTTTTCAAATGGAAAGAAACCATGACTAAGGAAATAATGCATTTTAAACTTTACGAACGACAAACTATCATCATTTTGTTTCGTCTGAGTCATACATGGTAAAAACTTATTCGGCGATTCTATTAGCATGCATCTCTACTAGTTACCGGTGTAAATTTCTATTTCTTTAACTATAGTAAATGACGATTTGAATGTTTAACTATTCATCTATAATTCAAATTTCATGTAATCGGCAATCGAACGTAATAATGCTCATCAGGCTATCTAAAAAAAACAGATAATAAATAACAATAAAAACGAAAATGGTTTGTTTCCTTCTGATCTTTTGTTACGAAAAAAAAACAACAAACCTATAACAAAAGAAACAACGGTAATCGTTTCGTTTTTTTAGATGTAAAACACGTATTAACCTTGAGTCTAACAAATTAAAAAGATGTCTCTTTCATGGCTTTATTATAAAAAAATTAAAATCTGAATTCAACGATTTGTTCAAAACATCATAATCGACGCAAAAGTATTCAACTTAGCTGAAAAAATACGAAAATTCCAGATATCTACGTACGTATATCAAAATGGATATGTTCGAAAATTTGCCTGGCAAAGACTATACTGTTCAATGATTAAATTTGTCCTTTTTATGCTCTTCGAATAGCTTATAGAGATTTACTCTCAGTCACATTTAATGACGTTTATTTGTCAGGTAAGTATTACATCTATAGAAAAGAAAATATTTGTATTTCGTTCGATGCATTTAGTTTTCAATAAAATCAATCACATACAGAATTTATGTTAATTCGATCGCTTTCAAACTTTCAGTAATCATGTAATACTTATGCGAGAATTAGTGCATGCCACTTTTGCTGTTCGCTCGACCATGATTAGCGCTAAGAATTGATATATAAACATTTTAAATGATATTTAATACATAAGGGTAGAACAGCTAAATCCTTCGATAATCGAATTTCTTTTTATAAGTAGGGTTTGTAATGAATACAATATACATATCGTTGCTAAGATATTTACAGTGAAAAAACAACTGCTAAATATTTGACTATTTCTACGCAAGCGCGTTTCTATTGTAACCTATTATTTCGCTATGGCATATTTGTTCACACTTAATCTTTGAAATCGTTGCTAAATGCTAAACTATCCATCTATGACAGAAATATGCCTTTTGGTGTTCGATGTTCATAGAGTCAAAACTCAAATGAATGGCAATTTAAAAATAAAATAACAACCAACCCTTTGATCATTCACGATGAACAATCGAATGACAGTAGTCTCAAACGATTAAAAACTACGAAATATTTCCTGATTTGTTTATGAACATTTCATAAAGTAATGTTTTCTAGTCGAAACTAGATATGAAATGATCTTAACATGAAAGTTTTAATGATTTCTTATACGAATCTATGAAAACTCTATTTATTGGATTGAATAATTGAATAAGAATTTTATCTAAAACACGATATTAGCTTATTTTTCTTTTCATCTTCATTTTACTTAACAAGAATGTTTTCATATTATCGAAAGGTGAATTGAATTCTTTTATTAAATAAATAAATATATATTAGTAAGCAAAAGAAATCCTACTTAAACTTGAAATTTGTGTATCAACTTAAAAATAAGTCAGATGTTATCTTTTTCGAAGCAGCTGATTAACTCAGATGACCTAAAGTAAATACTAATGGCTAATTTTTAACGAATCAAAAATAATCAATAAAACCTCTTGGAATATTTATAACATATACTCTATATTTTTGTTTTTAGCGTACGTGCTTTTTCATTGGTAGAAATATTGTCCACATATCGAAACTTGTCAATTACTGAAAAGTGTGAAGAAAAAAACCATTTTATTTTGGTTATAATTGAATATTTTACGACCTTGTCATTAGTTATATTCAATATTTTGTAACTTAGAGTATTGCTATTGGCATAAAGGCCTAGAATAAGAAAGATAGTAATCATAGTTCTGATGGCAAACAAATTAAACCCTAATCAAAGTGTACCAATTAAATTGGTGATTGTAGGAGATGGTACTGTTGGTAAAACTTGTATGTTAATATCATTTACAAGTAATACATTTCCTGAAGAATATGTTCCAACAGTGTAAGTGTCATTAATTCATACTTTTTTTTGCTATATTTTTGGAAATATTTGCTTCTTTTTTTGCTATAGCTTTGATAATTATACGTCAAACATAATTGTTGATAATGTGAAAGTCTCATTAGGTTTATGGGATACAGCTGGTCAAGAAGATTATGATCGACTTCGACCATTATCATATCCACAAACCGATGTATTTGTCGTGTGTTTTAGTGTAATTAGCCCAACATCATTTACAAATATAACCAATAAATGGATGCCAGAAATTCGACATCATTGTCCAGACAAACCAGTTATTCTATGTGGTTCGTAATTATTTTGATTGTTGCAAGAAACAAAAAATTATATTTTTATTTTAAAATTTTGAATTAGGAACAAAAGTGGATTTACGTGAAGATAGAGAGTTTCTTAATCAATTACAAAAGCAAAATATTCAACCAATTAAGCGTGAACAAGGACAGCGATTATGTAAAAAAATGCGAGCTTTTAAATATGCTGAATGTTCGGCATTAACACAAAAAGGTCTTAAACAAGTATGTATTTTAAAGTTCATGCCACAATAGTCGACTTTTCTATTGATTTATTTAAGGTTTTTGATGATGCTGTTCGTGCCGTCTTATCACCTAAATCAAATAAAATATCGAAATCCTCATGTATTTTTCTTTGAAAAAGAAAAACAATATGAGAATGTTTCAATCTCTTTTTTTACAAGTTTTTTTCATGTTTTTGATCTTCCATTTTTTGTGCAACACAATAAAAATTTTCTCACATCAACAATGAATTTGTTGGTTTTCTTACTCAGGAATAAAAATTTTCTCTAGATTTATTTTTATATGAAAAAATGTTTGTGAAGGCAATATTCTATTTTGTCTTCTGAAAAAGCAGCTAATACCACCTAATCATTACTTTCAAAAATTGCACGAAGATATGAAGACAAAAGGATAAGGTGTATGCTATAGAATCTACCTTTTCGGTATTTTTTTCTTCGTACCTTTGCAAACATGAACAGGACAGATTTATGATAAGCTCACGATTCAGATAAATATAAAAATGCATTTAAATATATTAATTTTTATCACATATTATTGTACTGCTTTGACCAGTTTAATATGGTTGAGATCAGACTTACCGATTATGGACGAGATGGGAGTGGCTAACCCCTTTCACAAGTACTAAATACCAATTTTCTGACATTAAATTGAACAAAAACACATTCTGTTAATAAAATCACTGAGAAAATTTGTGAATCTAATCTTTGTCATTCAAATTCTCATGAAAGATACGACGGAGTACTTTGTGTCAAATTTTTAGTCACTCCCACTCTTTAAAAAAATCAGTAAGTCTGTCTGAGACGACGTAAAAACGCTGATTTACATCTTCATATTTGATCGGAGTCGTGCCAATATCTGTCGCCTTGATTTACGTTTTTCAACCTAATATGGCAATCACGTGAATCACCATCAATCATCCACGTAAGTTTTAATAATGAATAACGACATTATTCGCACGTTCATTCAAGAAATCTACAGTGGTAATGATAAAGCTAAAAATAAGTTCAACTGAGACCATCAGAGTTTGCATAGTGAGTGAAATTATAAGATTATAATAGGACATAATCTATCTGAAATTAGAAGACATCATATTTGAATCTAAGAACTTCTTTCTAATATGTCTATCATTTTTGTGTACTCAAAAAGTGAGTACACTCTAGAATCGGTCAGTGTGACCGTCCGTCCGTTTACACGATAACTTTCGAAAGGAGAGTTAGATCATGATGAAATTTTCTACACAGTTCAGCCTCATCAATGTCTCAGTCGAGTTCGAAGATGAGAAAGATCCGTCAAGAAATGGTTGAGTTATCGAAAAAATTGTCATTATTGACAAGACCATCCCTGAGGAGGAGTACAGGAATTTTTCAAAAAAACTTTTTTCTTCAGAATTATCCACAACATATATAAATCGACTCAGTTTTTAACGCTGATTTTGAATCTGATATTAGTTTTGAAAAAATCGTAGCTTTTTAACGAAACATTGACTGAAAAAGGTCTCAAAATACATAAAAACTGCATCTAGAAACCAAATTGCCTAGATATGTTTCAGATGACCAGCAGTTTCGGGGTTTCTCAAATGCCTGGTTTTGTAGCTAGTCAAAAAGACTATCGAAAGTTAAAAACCCGAACTCGATAGCTATTACTATTGATGATTTATTATGAAAATACTGATGCCTGTATCTATCATATATCTCTTATAAATTCATGAGGTTGCTTACGATCGTAATCCTGCTAGATACAAACACAAAACCATTNAACTGACCATTTTAGAATTAATTACTGATCATTTTAGTACTGACCGTTCAATATTTATACTGACCATTTCCATACTTTTTTACTGATCAGCTCATTTTTTTTACTGACCACTTAAATGGTAGCCGTTCTTTTTCATGTCAATTTATTTCCAATAAATATAATACAAACGCCCTCTCTTGTGTAAGTCTACACAGAGCACACGTTGCAGAATGGTCAATTTTGCTGCACTATTTTATTTGAATGTCAACGCCAATTCTTAGTACTCAGAATTCGCTTAAGTGAAATATGACGTTTGTGTTCAAAACGATTGAAATTGTATTCTTTGGAATCATAATGGAAAATTTGATTTCAACAGCTACATCGTATGATTCAGTTTTAATATCAATAAAAAAATGCATTTCATATAAATGCAAACTAAAGAAATGAAGATTTCTAGCTAAAATTGGCGATGATAATATCTGATCCGTAAAATGAATCAAAGAATAATGAGTTAGTTTGAATTCGATATCGATATCATGAAAAATCAAATTTTCTTGGTGTTGAATTGATTACCGCTTCATTATAACAGACAAATTCATGTTAAATAGAAGCAATATTTTACTACATTGGTATTCGAGCCAAAACTAAATTATATGAATCTATTCTGATATACAAGATCTAAAGCTAAGCTAGATATCAAATCGATTCAAAGTTAGATTGAAATAAATGCGGAAACATCGGATTTACATCCGATTGTTATGTGTACTTCAAAAAGCGAAAATGTACATCCATTTTTTTCTATAAGGCATAGATCTCATCAAGATACACCACTTCTCACTAAATTACAAGGAGAAAATACAGGCATGCTAAGTTAGCATGGACCACACTGTATGCAACTCTATCCAGTGATCACTGACTCTACTCCCAGCGTGATATAATATCTTTAGAGATCACAAAAATTGAGCTCAGATTCGTGTTCAGCTTCGAAAACTGGATAAGAACAGTTATTTTTGAATGGTTTTGTGTTTGTATCTAGCAGGATTACGATCG